TTGCTTCCCCTGGCCTGGCTGTGGACGGCAACTTTGACAGTCAGTTTGTCACCGGAAGAAGCTGTTACTCAAGCGCCATTGGTGACACAATTCCTACCTTGTACATCGACCTTGGTGCCTACTTCTTCATCAACTCCGTCACCGTCACCAACAGGGGAGACTGTTGTGGTGAGCATTGTTCTGTTCCTTATGTAGGTTAACCAACATGAGAGAGTCTTTGAGCATCATGAGCATCGATCTGAGCAATTGTCATACGATCATATTCATCACCCAAGTCAGCGAACCTGACCACCTGATCCCATATGTCGCGTCTTACGACAAGCACGGGTTGCTGAAGACCAATTCTATCCCGGATCTTCATAGTCCATCTCCTAGTACTAAATAAACATGTTCTTTTCAATTTCAGCTGAACGCCTGCGCAACATCAACATCGGCACTCTCCTGAAAGACCCCTACAGGTATCTTGAGTACCCTAGAGTTTGCGGCACCATCACTGGCAACGTCGCTGGAGGAGCTAACTTCACCGTCAACTGCTTTGCACCTTCTGTGGGCCGCTACATCAAGATCCAGAAGACCAGTCAGGTTGACAGCAACGATCTCCTGACCCTGTGTGAAGTTCAAGTAACTGGAAGGTTCGCTTCCTACACTGAGGTGACCGACAAAAACTTCGACAATGACGTTGCTCAGGCTCTGGCTGAGAATGGAATTATTTCTGTTGCTGGGTCACAATTTGCCGGGAATCACGGCAGAAGGGCTGTGAATTGATACGACAAACCCCAAGAAATGCAGCCTGAGCTTCACAAGTAACGAAAGTCTGAAGTCCATTTAACGAAAGCTAAAATCACTTCCCATCAAAGCAGGTCATCATTTAGTGTTGTGGAGTTGCTCATTTGTGGCAAAATAAATGTGGAGGTTAAATATTGACAGCATTTTCTCATTTGTTTAAACGTTGATACAAAGATATGAAGAATATCGTAGCGTAAATATAATATACACTGATGGTAAAAATGTTAAACAAAACCTGCATTGTCAGTAAAATATTTAGCTAATGGTGAATTGCAGAACCGTGAACTGCAGTGCTTTGCTAACAGCAGTCACCTTCTACTCACAGTAGCAGATTAACTCTTTGTTTTGACAAGTAATAAGTTGTTCCACACTGGCCCCCATGTTCACTCCTTCTTAACGAGTTGTCCCGGAGTGGACACTGAATTTGGTTATTAGGTAATAGACAGCGAGGCCTTTCTGGGAATATACCAGTGCTGCGAGGCGTTTGTCACAAATCTCTCTAAACTTACCGGGAACGTTTATCTATAGTCTAATGAGCAGTCCAATTTAATGAACAAGGCTTATGCTGTGCATGTTATTTTCCCCAGTTTCTCATCTCCCAATTAGTGTGAAATAGTAACACATATTCTTACCTCTATTTGTCCACCCGTTGTGAAAACTATGACCAGATGTCATGTAAAACACTCATTTGCAAACACATAAATAACCGATCAGCTTCATCTAAATTATTAAAACTTCGTTTCCAAAGCAAAGCGATTTGATCTACTTAATGAATAGCACACTATTACCAAATGATCTAAATTAAAAAAATCATAAAATATGTTACACAATTTGTGAAGAAAAAGCATGTTATTGTAAACACTATAAGTTATCACATAACTTCCCGAGCCGGAGGCGAGGGGAATACAACCTTACGAGGGACTGATAAAACTCCGTATTTCCCTCGACACGATGTGATAACGCATTTATCTAGCCGAATATTTTTACTAAATGAAAAGAAAAGAAAAGAAAATTCTCAGTTGTTGTGGCAAAACGTTTCCTTGCTGCCATGTTGACACCAGCTGATCGATTGACTATTATGACATGTGTCAACCAAGTCCATGTGACCACCCGATCCCGTTAGTGGCTTCTTGCTTCAAGCGTTGCTTACTGAAGATCAATTTTAACCCGGGTCTTCAGAAGTGTCTTCAAAATGAAATCATGTTTATTGAAAAGTTTATAGTACAACCCAACAGGTTTCGTTGCACTTCATGTGCTTCATAGTTGTTAGACGGGTCTCTGCGGACAATAACACAAAACACGTACTTAACACATCGTTGAACAAAATATGTGCATGTACAATCCTCTAAAGAGATTTCTGCTCCGTCTCCTGATTGGTTTGTTTTCATGTCACGTGCCGTAAGTACCGCAGTGCAAACTGTTTACGTGGCGTGAGGTAACTGCGTGACAAGACATGCCTACCAATCTCTCGAAAACCTGTCTGTTTGATAGAATAAACCCAAAAAACTTTAATTACATGTTGTCAGTATATATTCAGACCTGGACTGTAGTTAAAAATGTGAGTATGATAAAGGGCGTCTGGATTTAGGCACACTATTTTAGTGTCTCAGTGGCTGTGACACTCTCTATAGCCTATTGACTCAAGAAAAAAGTAAAACGCTCAGTGACACATTCAAACATTTTGAGAGCAAATGAAAGGACTACATGGTCTTTTCGTGTCTCGCAATGATGCATTGAAAATTGGGTAGCTTTCTAAGCTAGTCACGTATCCAGCGAAGGGACGCTGTATTAGCATTTTAGAAGACGCAATTTGATGAATTTAGACAATTTTATGGATTTCATCTTCCTTTTATTCTAAAATTAAAAAACAAGAGATAAATAAATAAATCAATGAATAAATAAATAAGAATAAAAAGAAGATGAAATCCACAAAATTCTCTCGTGATAGGACCGCCTCCGTGATGTATTGGTTAGAGCGTCCGCCCGGAGATGTAGAAGGTCGCGGGTTCGATCCCCGGCTGCGTCATACCAAAAGACGTTAAAATATAGTACTTGTTGGTCCCTGCCTGGCGCTCGGCATTAATGGGTACAACAAGGACTGGTCGGCTCGGAGTCAGTATAATGTGTCTGAGTGGGGTATTCATGCTTATCTCAGTGAGCTAGCACTATAAAACCAGCTTAAGTCTGGGCTAGTACAATCAGCCACACATACACACGCATGCACGTCGTCATATGAGCGAAATATTGTTAAGTACGACCTTAAACCCCATTTCACCTAACCCGTCGTGATATTGTTGGAGTATTGCTAAAAGCGGCGTAAAACTAAACTCACTCACTCCTCTGATTTATCTAAATGGTGCAAGAAATGAACCAACCTGTTAAATCAACTTATCTGTTTGATATTTCGATGTGTATATACAAATTCCTAGCGAGATGCATGCACGGGGCTGTATAACACAGAGAGTTAGTGAGTGTGTTGAGTTTTTAGCAATATTTCAGCAATATCACCAGAACACCAGAAATGCGCTTCACACATTGTACCCATGTGGGGAATCGAACCTGGGCCTTCGGCGTGACGAGCGAACGCTTTTATCACTAGGCTACCCCACCGTCCCGCATGAGACAGAGAAGAAGGATGACATGAACTTCCTAATAGTCTCTTTTAACTTTATTTTGAGCAACAGTCCGAAGCAGCATCACCTCAAGGTGTCTACATTTCACAGAATTTTAAGCACAATTGTGCATGCTGTTTCTTCGAAGATTTCAAAGAGCGTCATTCCTGCTCAATGGTTTGATCAGATATACAGCCTGCATGCCATACAGCGTACCACACGGGATGTAAGTTTTGACTTGCAGAACAAAAATACTTGAGTAAGTTTAGTTTTACGCCGCAGTCAGCAATATTCCCGCTATATGGCGGCAGTCTGTAAATAATCCAGACAATCCAGTGATCAACAACATGAGCATCGATCTGCGCAATTGGGAACCGATGACATGTGTCAACATTCTAACCCGAACCTTCACGGGTCCAAAAATACTTAAAATGAGGAATATTTTTAAATCATTCCTTCCCTGTCAATGTCAGGATATGGCACGTTAGAATATACCTAACATTACATCAAAACTACGATCTGTTACGACGAACTTTGAGGATCGAATCTGTCTATTTCAGAAATGGTTTATTATTTGCCATCTCGGTAGAAACTTCTACAAAGTACTATACAGTATATTTAACCGCTAGAAATTACAAACATGATATTGAAATCGTTTAGCACAAATGTAACGATTTATACTAGTTCCTAATACATGTACTACATTCATTTCACATCCAGTAACATAATTAAACTATGTTCAAGAAACATTATTTACATTTGAAACTATGAGGATGTTTTGGGATAAAGATGTATACTTTTGTATCAATATATTAACGTGCAGTTGTCTCTTACTTAATGAAAGCCCAATTGTTTAGAATCAACCTCAGGGCCTTATGCTGACATTAATCCAACAAGCTGAAGGGTAAATGCTGCATGTGTATGGTTCTTGTGTCCGGATTCGCAGCCTACTGTTTTAACCCTCATGATGCCTGGCCGTTAGCTGGCTGTGTGTATCGCTCATGGCCTCTCTGTGGTGACGTCGCGATTATAAAAACGCATACATTGTACTAAATTTCTAACAGCGTTCGTTTTGTAAACCATTCCAATTGGGTCTTCTTACAGTATATATTAAAACGTATATCCACTACACAAACCCTACCGGTAATATATACTCATGGAAATGATTAAGGGAACACTTGAAAGTACAAGTGTTCCTTTATATATTTCCAGAATTTCACTCACAGTGCAATACATACCTTGTGAAGAAACCTGGAAAAGAATAAAGGAACACTTTCATGTGTTCCCTTATTCGTTTCAATGAGTATATATGTCTCTCCTCTTCAACCCTCACTTTGATGATCCAAATACAAGACAAACATTTATGCACTTCGAAGTTTTACATGCTATGGAACATAAGTCTTCCTTAACAGAGAGTCCAGGAATAGAAAGGTTTCCGGGCAACTAAGGTTTCCGACTGACGGGATTATACTGAAATTTACTTAAATATCTTGCAAGTAATTTGTAAACATTAACCTCTGTGAAAATATTCCAAAATCCTTTAAACCAAAGTGTGTATACAAAATATCCCTATAAAGTTTCCAGGTTCACAGAGCTGCTTACCTTAACGTCCGCTTGAGGTTCAGACAGAATTCAAAATGAATGTAACTTTGCGTGGTTAGCGTCACGTATGAATTGCACACGCGCAGTGACGGGGTTGAGGTAATGACATATTCTCGGGAAAGTATGGTGGCTGATTAGGGCCATCGCTTTCTCGCCTTAAAATTCGGAGGCGAGAAAGCGATATCACGAGACGAGAAAGCGATAACACGAGACGAGAAAGCGATAGCACGAGACGAGAAAGCGATAGCACGAGACGAGAAAGCGATACCATTACGCGAGAAAGCGATAAAGCGAGAAAGCGATAGAGCGAGAAAGCGATATACCAAGGCGAGAAAGCGAGAAAGCGAGAAAGCGAGAAAGCGAGAAAGCGAGAAAGCGAGAAAGCGAGAAAGCGAGAAAGCGATAGAGCGATAGAGCGATAGAGCGAGAAAGCGATAGAGCGAGAAAGCGAGAAAGCGAGAAAGCGAGAAAGCGAGAAAGCGATAGAGCGAGAAAGCGATATACCAAGGCGAGAAAGCGAGAAAGCGATAGAGCGAGAAAGCGATAGAGCGATAGAGCGATAGAGCGAGAAAGCGATAGAGCGAGAAAGCGAGAAAGCGATGGAGCGAGAAAGCGATAGAGCGAGAAAGCGATGGAGCGAGAAAGCGATAGAGCGAGAAAGCGATATTTCACATAATTCTGCCCTGTCTGCACATGACGTCTAAGCTGCGTATGATTTAATCCAAATGGAGGCTTTATTGTCATTTGGATTAATCGTATAGAAACAAAATGAACATGCTTTCGAATTCTGTGGCATTTTTGTAATTAATCCTTTGACTTGTCCAAACAATAATCCAACAATAACACCAGAAACCGAGTGTGTTTTCGTTGAAATAAATGAGCGCTCTTAAAAAGTCTGTAAAAAGGATAACAATCATTTAATTTATCACTAATCACTAATTAGGCTTGGATTAATTCCTGGCTTGCATTTCTTTATTGTCATTTCCCTTGTTAAATGCTACCATTGTTATCTCATTATTCATGCCGGGATTAACAATCTCTGGCTTCCATTTGTCCATCCACCCTACCAATTTAGCGTTAATTAAGTACTGGCTTCCCTTGTTATCTTATCACTGTTGTTTCAAATGAACGTCTTTAGCTTTCTCTTCCTAGTTTCTAGTCTCTTCATTTACCTGATGAAGGATAAGAATATACTCCGTAACATCGTGTTTCAGTCCGGTGTTAAACAACAAACCAACCAAACGAACTCCCCGTCGGGCTTTATTGTATCAGTGATGGAATTTCATACACCCTGTGCCTTTCATCTGGTCTTTTTATGTGTGCCTATTTCACACATATATATTTCCACTATTATGTGAAAAGGGTGTTGTTCTAAATGTATGTGCCATCGTCTCCCATACTTCTACAAGAATGGCTTGTCTACATACTTATATGTCTGTCTGTCCCCATATCCCAACTATCTACTTGAGACAGTGCCACAAGTCATCGACCGACGTGATAGGTGTGTTTAACAAAAACGTAATATAATTATTACTTGGGGAATAAAGCACTATATCATAAAACACCTGTATATTGAAGATAATTTAGTTTAGATGGGGAGTTGAGAAGTTGGACGTAAGAGGGTTGGGAACTTGATTGCGTATAAGTTCAACTAAGTAAGTAGTGTAAAGTATATTGTGACTTATTGTGCAGAACAGTTCAACTGTTGCTGATAAGCTAATAAGGAGTCTACTAAATAGATGAAAAGGGGTTAAATGTTAAAAAGTAGGGCTGGGGAGGCAGGGTACGGTGTTTATGTTTTGGTTGTAAAACGTGCGGTGTGTGGCCTTGACATTGTGAGTTAGTCTGGATAATCGAGTTTACACTGTAATGTGTGGCTGGATAGGGATGTTTTAAAGGGTTTATTCTGAATTTAAGAGTGCTTTTTTTGTTTGGTGTTTTGATATTTTGTTTTCAGACCCAGTCTGGTAGTTATTGAGTAATTTGGTTTCTTCTAGTAACTACTATCTAGTAGGTGCTAGTCTTTGCACCTATGGCTTTATATATATATTGTAAGGAGTTTAGTTGGGGATAGAGAAGGACGGGAGCGACTCACTCCAGTGTGTACATGATAAATGTTTTGTAGATGTGTAGGAGGGTTTATTTGGCCGCAGTGACCTCAATGCTCACAATATGAAACATACATTTTAGAAAGTCCGATATGCTCATGTGGACTAGCAAATGAGGATAGTTTTCACTTTTTCTTTACTTGTCCAATATATACTGTAACTCGAAATAACATGTACTTTTACCAAAAAAGATATACATTAGACTCAGTATTATTCGGAAATGTCCATGCAACTGCACCTGTAAATATGCAGATTCTTGAATCTGTTCATTTATATATCGTAAAATCAGGCAGATTTGACGCCCTTTACTCATTTGTCTGCATCCCAGTGAATGTCACCTATTGCTCTCATTCGATTTGAATCGTTTTGACATGAGTTGACCAAGTTATAAACAAGATGATACAGGTAGATAGTTCCATATATTGAACGAGTTTCAAGTCCTCCTCTGGAAACGAAAATGTTACGAAGGATTAACTGGATACACTAATCAGCTTTTCAAAACCTATGCGACCACGTCCAGCTGTAGCCTTTACTTTACTTTTATTCTCAATAGACCACCAATGGTGGTATAAGAGTACATATCACACACATCAATTATTACATACAGTCAAAATGGCGGCGGAGGGTAACAATATATTGTAGAAAACCAGTTGTTGGTATAACATGTCTATTATCTAACTTTTGTCAGAAGAAAACATGGCGGAAAAGATGGGTTTTGATAGATATTTTGATGGCAGAACAGGTTTGAAATTGGCGGACCAAAATGTCGCTTACATTATAATAAAGGAGTTGTATATCCATATAACTTTCCCCGTTGTTAAGCACACCAACTTCTAAATGCCATCCAAAGAAGTTCACTATATATGGCTAGACCAGCGTTTAGCTGCGTACTATTTTCAGCTTTGATTAGACGAACGTTTGACTGCATCCTTTTATTTGCTTAGATTACACCATTGACTGTGGAATGGTTCAGTTACTACATTGAGGTACCAAGGTGCTTTACTGTCACGTGCGTCTCCTCTATCTTTGGGTAGGAGCGAATTGGGTTCATGTAGGTGAAGTTCTTCAGTTAATAAATTTCATCGTCTTTATTAATTCAAAGAGACTACAGCTGTATTGTGATCACCCTGAAATACAATAAAGTGAAATAAACATAAACGGTTAAGTTCCCATGCCTCATTTCTAATTCCTCCACCTATAACCAAACAGGGGCGGTGGGGTAGTCTAGTGGTTAAAGCGTTGGCTCGTCACGCCGAAGACCCGGGTTCGAATCCCCACATGGGTACAATGAGTGAAGCCCATTTCTGGTGTCCCCCGCCGTGATATTGCTGGAATATTGCTAAAAGCGGCGTAAAACCAAACTCAGTCAGTCAGTCAGTATAACCAAACAGCGAGAACTTATAATTATTTTTGAATTGTCTACATACGGCTCATTTATAGTGTCACATACTTCAAAACTCTCTGAATGTGATGTATATGTAATAAACTGAGCTGCAAAAGAAACGCAAGTTTCAATTTGTTTGAAATGTAAGTGTAATTCACCATTCCATTAAGTAGGAATTGAACTGATGGCGTACAATATGGCGTCACAAAATCATCAACAATGAACCTAAAACATGAATATTGTTCTTAGGCGACATATATTTCAATTCACACACTCATTCAGTGATTTTATTTTAGGATGATGGTTTGGATGTGGTTGATTGTCTTAGTGGAGGCCACTCGTGATGGAAATCACCATGAAAAGATACTCGTCACAGTGCCTTATTTGTCATAGGTCCGTCCCTTTCATCTGTCACTCCCGACACATTTGTCACACAACATCATAATTCAAAGAAAACCATAGAAAAGAACCAGTCAGACTACAAAATTCGTAAACTTTTGGAAGCAGTACACATCAAGAACATAGGATCCGCCCTCAACAGAGATGAAGGATAGTACATTCCCAATGCCTACCATCACTTGATAAAGTAATCAATAATATTTCTTGTGTACGTTATCTGTTTCAGTTCAACTACGTACATCAAACCCATCTTTTGTATATACATCCACCTGGCCTCCTATAAATTCTAATTCAGTCCTTGTATATCACCCTTCTGGCTTCCAATCAACTTACTCAATCTCTTCTACAAGCGTTGTCCATCAACCTCATTTAATGTATAAACAACTCATTCCCTATCTACTGTAATAACAACTCATGTATATATTCTCTCAATTTGTTACTCATGTATCACTTGCTTGACAACGACATTAGAATCTATGTAACGTCGCCTCCACAGAATAAAAGAAGTTGTATATCCAATATAATTGTCATTATTCTTCATCAACTCAACATCTAAAATGCCCATCAAAGAAACAATTCAATTGGTTGGTGTGATTAAGTTGGTTAAGACAATTCGAATCCAGTTATGTCATAAAATATGTAATTCCTTAAGTCACATCACAAAATGAACGTTTCCGTTATTTCACGATATGGCTATTGCATACGTGCAAATTGCATGTCAAAGGAAAGTCTACATCTTTATTAGATATTTTCTAAACGTCAAGTCATACACCGCCATTCGTGGGCAAGAACATTACTGAAAACCATTTAATACTATCCAGAAATTACGATGGCGACTGAGCTCCCGTTTGCAGTCGATCATGCGCAGACAGCACTGAATTGTGGGTAATATCGCTTTCTCGCTTTCTCGCTCTATCGATTTCTCGCTCTATCGCTTTCTCGCTTTATCGATTTCTCGCGTAATGGTATCTCTTTCTCGTCTCGTGCTATCGCTTTCTCGTCTCGCGTTATCGCTTTCTCGTCTCGCGCTATCGCTTTCTCGTCTCGTGCTATCGCTTTCTCGTCTCGTGCTATCGCTTTCTCGTCTCGTGTTATCGCTTTCTCGTCTCGTGATATCGCTTTCTCGCTTTCTCGCCTCCGAATTTTAAGGCGAGAAAGCATGGCACTAATCAGCCACCATAGGAAAGGCATATCAGTCCTCACGAATAAAATTAGA